CCTTCTGTAGAAATATTAATTATTGTTTTAATTATTGTTTGATTTTTTAATTAAAAAAGTTTTGTTTAGAAATAAATGTAATTTTTGTATAATTAAATACAAGTTATAATATTATAATTATAATAAAATATATTAAATTAAATTATAATTAATATTTGTGTATTAAAATAAAATTTTATATTATACAATACTTATTTTAAATGACATGCATTATTTAATTAAATAAAATGCCTTATAATACCTTATTATAAACCTTATTACAAGTACAGTATACTGTACGGTAGTATTACTTTTATATTGTACCAATAGTGCTATTTTTGTAATATAATGTTTTTTATTTCTAAACCTTTTCAAATTATTTTTCAAACAAGAATTCTTTCTCTATGAGTATTTAATTTATAAAATTTATTATTACACAATTGTACCGGGACAGTTAATTTAGCATTTTGTATAACATAATTTATTACTTAACTTTTAAATAAATAAATTAATTAACTTTATATATTTAGGAGCATGATTATCAGGACAGTGTAGGCGGTCCACCAGGTGCCGCACTTAGGGAACGTTAGCAATATGCGATCGCCGAGTCGGGGCTGGTAGTCCGACGCGTATTTAATTAGTTCAACATGTAAGTATTTTGGGTATGACAGTCCGTCGATATTTTGTAAATGCTCGTCCATTTTATTTGTATTTAATTTTAGTAGATATAAAAGTAGTTTACTTCAATAAAATAATTCAATCTTGCTAAAAACATAGAGTTTATATAAGTTTATAGCTCTGTGTTTATGATGAGTCACACCCGGATTGTAAATGTATTGTAATTTGTAATATTACAATTCATTTTTATAGATTTCAAAACAATTTGTCCTGAATGTCCTATTACAATTCATTTTTATAGATTTCAAAACAATTTGTCCTGAATGTCCTATTACAATTCATTTTTATAAATTTCAAGACAATTTGTCCTGAATGTCCTATTACAATTCATTTTTATATATTTCGACGTATTTTAGACTAGACGAGGTCATTTAGGCTGATGATAATGCACTTGTTTTTATAAAATGCCCTATAATTACATTGAATTGTTGTGTTGTTGTGTTGAATATATTGAAATTGATTGCTTTTAACGAGACGTCTGTACCGCCGCTTACAGTCTCCTTAATCAGTCCACTTGATCCGCGTAGTGATCCTAAGCTCCACAAGTGATTCTAGTATACGCTTTTGTCCAAGCTAAATCTAGATAAATTAACTTTAGTTATAAAGGACCATGTTTATCAGGTTAGTTTTAGGCTCTTATTACTTTCTCACAATTATTTGTGTGACACAATCGGTGGCAAAACAATTGCCGCCAAATGTCGTCATATTTATGGCGGACGACATGGGATGGGCTGACGTGGGCTACCACTCCGACCACATCCTGACCCCAAACATCGACACATTGGCCGCCGATGGCGTCGTATTAAACAATTTCTACGTACAGCCCGCTTGCAACCCAAGTAGGGGTGCCCTACTCACCGGTAGACATCCCATACATTTTGGCTTTCAACATGGAGTACTAATGCCTTTGATGGCCACTGGTTTGCCCCTACACTTTAAATTATTACCACAATATCTGAAGCAGTATAGTTATGCCACACATATAGTGGGTATGGTAGCAATTTTAATAATCTTAATATTTAATTAATTAACACAATATATATTAACATTTAAATATATTAAATATTTTTATAATACTGTATATTTATTAAATACAGTGACAGACTTTTATTTAGAGTCACGCATGTTTTTGAGACAACATTAATCGGGTGACCAAAGAATTTACAATAAGTAGTCATAATAAAATGTATCACCCCACGAAAATGTCCTGATCAGTTTTGGTCAGTATAAATTTACCCGTTCGGCCGCTGTGACCAAAAGTACAAAAACGTTTTTTGAAAAGCGAGACAAAAGTTTAGAGTCATAGCGGTAAATCGTATTTATCTGGCCAGGGATCAATTTAATTGCATAGGGAAGGCATTATTAAGTTTAAGTGAGTAAATTAAAATATAAAAATAATATGGCGGCAATCAAAGTCTGGCCACCATTTAGTGGGCTCGGGAATAATCGGGAGCCCTTTATTGACTGTTCCGGTTAAGTTTTTGTAAATTTTATTAATTAGGATAATAAAGTATATTATTTAAATTAGTATCGGGCGGTTTAATCTCCAGGATTGTCTTAGTGGCCACTGTTTCGGGCTCCCGAACATTGGTCACAAATACCGACTCCACGACTTCCCCGATGGCCGATTGAACCGGTTTAAATTATTTTTATATTTTAATTTACTCACTTAAATTTAATAATGCCTTCCCTATGCAATTAAATTGATCCCTGGCCAGATAAATACGATTTACCGCTATGACTCTAAACTTTTGTCTCTCTTTTCAAAAAACGTTTTTGTACTTTTGGTCACAGCGGCCGAACGGGTAGACATATACTCGCCAAAACTGATCATGGTAGTTATGTGTGATGAGATCTCATGGTCTGACTACTTATTGTAAATTTTTTGGTCTCCACATTAATTTGACCACAAATATATGCGTGACTCTAAACTTATGACTGTCACTGTATACATGAAGTTTATCTATAAGAATAGTAATTGTAATTATAGTTACTATGATAGTAAACAAAACAAAACAAACGATTTAAACAATTTTCTACTTGGTCAGGCAAATGGCATTTAGGTTTTATGAACCGTGAATACACGCCAACATACCGGGGCTTTGACTCGCACGTGGGTTATTGGACTAACAGGCCATTCTATTTCAATCATACCAATTGTGACCCATATGACCGGGTCAGGTAGGTTTTCCATGATTTATCCCCTCATAGAAATGTATTACGTATACAATGTGTTCATAATTTTTTGGATTATCCTGGTCATCCTAGTTGTGGCTATGATTTCCGACATAACATGGATGTCGTCACAAACGCGTCGGGAGTTTATTCAACACATTATTTCACCGACAGATGCCTTCATATCATCGGTTAGTAAGAATCGCATTGTTTTCGTATAATTAAGTTTATATTAAAAATTATATGTATATAAAAAATATATCTAGGTTATATTTGAGTAAACTATCATATTTTGTCATTAACTCAGATGAGCACAACACATCTGAGCCACTGTTCCTATATATGCCATACCAGGCCATACACATGTCGGCTGATAAATTCCCGGTGGAAGCGCCCCAACAGTACATCGATATGTTTGCGTACATCGAGTCCGATATGAGGCGAGGGTTGGCCGCCGCGGCCTACAGTATGGACGAGTCGATCGGTGCGGTTGTCGAGCGCCTACACTCGAGACAAATGTTGGAAAACAGTATTATTATATTTATGAGCGATAATGGGGGCACCACTGGCACTCATTTCGGTAATTGAATTTTTTAAATTACCGGGGAATATATTACGGATTATATTATGGATTATTATTTTATAGCAAACGGTGGATCTAATTGGCCGCTAAGGGGAATGAAAATGGAATATTATGAGGGAGGTATATTGTATTACCTGTCATTACAATTAAAGATATTTCAAAATTAAAACTAGTATTGACAATAATTATAAACTTTGTAATACTTGTAATACATTTTCACTGTGTGTTAGGTATAAGAGTTCCGGCGTTCATATGGAGTCCATTGTTGAACAAAAGTGGTTACGTGTCGGACGCTATGATTCACGTGACAGACATTTTGCCCACCATTTTAGATGCCGTCCATAACAGCACCGGCATATTGAATGAGCAATTTATTTACGGTATGTTAATATATAACTTAGTAATTAATTAAACAAGCATGTGACTTGTTAAGTTGGTACAGGGAACATAAGAAATAACATTAAAATGTCCTACTTATTGATTTATTAATTAATATTAAATGATATAATATTTGAAATAGATACAGTCAGTTTGAAATATGTTTGTGAAAATGTGAAAGTTTCACTTAACTGGAACAATAAAATTAGTTATTATTCATAACTTATTAAAATGCTTAAATATTTTTAAGGTAAATCTCAATGGAATACACTATCAAACAATAAACTCCCGGTGCGAACGGAAATCATACATAATATCAATTACTTTACTAATACGTCGGCCATTCGGTGGTACGATTGGAAACTTATTCAGGATAAAACATTGGAAAGGTCGGGCCTATGGGTGCGAACTCTGGGCTATCAAAACATGGGTCTAAACCGGGAATCATTACAATCCTTACAGTCTAAGGATCGCGTGAATAGTAAGTCATATCAAGTGTTGTCAAAAATGAATAGACGACCCGATTATGAGGTGCTGAAGGAGTCGGTGGTTGAGTGCGAACCACATGAACCTACACACCCGGCCAACAATGACTGCACAACTGAGTTGTGTTTGTTTAACATACGGGACGACCCGTGCGAATACCATAACCTGATTGGGGAAACGGATCCTCAGTTTGTGAAGTTCTTGTGGCAGAAATTGATTGCTTTTAACGAGACGTCTGTACCGCCGCTTACACTCCCCTTAATGAGTTCAATTGATCCGCGCAGTGATCCTAAGCTTTACAATAATACGTGGATTAACTGGTTGGACAGGGAGAGGGAGGACATGGGGGACAGTATGGATATGACGAGAAGCGAATTATAGACACCTATTTAATTAGTACATTTAACCTAGAACATTTATCTTGATACAAATATTAGATAAAATATTATAAAATATTCCTATGTACGGTAGTTATTTCTATTATGCATGGATTTATTAATAAATCGTTTTTATTATGACTAACATTTCAAATTTAAATTAATTTTGAATTAAAAGGATTTCTAATAAATGTAACACAAAAGTTAAAAGTAATGTTAATTTGTTAAATATCATCAAGCAAGAATATTATTAATAAATTTTATGAAAATAAAAATAACTTTCTGATGATAAACTATCTGTAGTTTTTAAATATTTTTAAAATAACCATATTAATACTAATTTATTTGTCGTATATTATTATTTATAAGGATAAACATTTAACACTTATTATGAGTTTATTAAAAGTCAAAATGATTACAACACATAATAAATGAAAATTTTTTAAATAAATAAAAATGAGTTAATATAATTATTTTAAATATATTTTTATTGATAAACTGTGTAATAAATGCTCAAAAATTTTGTAGAGTCAAATATGATGTCTGTCATATAATTGACACTTTCATAGTTATTTAAACTTTAATTACAGTTTTCTATTATTCATTCAATTATTTATCATTACTTTTCCATTATTTTTGTATTACTAATCAGTAATTATTAACGATTGGCTTAAAAAGCTATAAACTTGTATTTCTAATGACTCCCACGATGTTATAGTGGTGAGCAAAAAACCTTTTGTGATTCAGTATTGATTTTTCCTAAAAATGTGTTTTTGAATAAACTTCGGTTTGTTTCTGAACCACAATCAGATGCATTTTCTATGACAAAAACCAATGTATTTTCAATGGAAAAACCTCCTTTTTGTAAACTTAAATGGCGCAGTTACCATGGTAGATTTTTATATAATAAAAAATATTTTTACAAACCGGGAAGTATGTGCTATAAAACAGGGAAAAGAGGATTAGGATTGGATTATCCATTTTGGAGTAATAAATTTCAATAGCGTAAAGATATTTAATTCTTCGAGTGTATAAACTATATGTTGGATTAATTGACTCCGGCTATCTCACGCTGAAAGCACCGGTACTCGTGAGATGAATGAAGTTAAGCCGTATTGAGTCCTGTGAGTACTGAGGAAGGAGACCCTCTAAGGTGTGGGAAACCCTGTGTCGTAAACATTTAGTCGTAGTTTACTATAAAAATTATTTTCACAAATAAATATTTAGTTTAATTTTTTTATTTAATAAAAAAATAAATAATTAACATGGCCAAAATACATTAAAGCTAAATAATATTAAGATCCCTAACATAAATTGTTGTAAATACAAACACACATAACTATTTTATAAAATAATTATTTTTGTATTTTGACACCTTAAATAATAAAAATGTATTTTACTAATATTTACTTGTATAAAATATTTTTAACACTTGTGCATGTTAATAGTCTTGATTACTAATATCTACTAAATTAAAAATTTGCATTCAATTCACGAATATATCATTGATACTTAAACTACCAAGAACATACATAATTTATAAGCAGTTTAGACGTCGAATGCAACTCTTAATACCATTTCATCTCCCGTTCCCACAGCAACTCCAGACCCGTTCCCTTCCACACCTCCTCCACGCGTTTATCAATCAAATCGCTCTCATCTCTCGACATAACAGCCCTCCAGTCGCCGACAATCCTTTTCCTATAATGTCGATCGCTTTCGCCGGCAATACGTTTCATATTCTCAATACTGGACGCCTCTATAATGCAATCCAATAGTGTGTCACTACCCGTCCCATTGGGGCACTTCTCGTACAGCCAATCCACGTGTCGTTCGCCCAAAAACGTGGCGATCTCTACAATACATTCGCGCAGATGTGTCGCCATGTTTTCGTACGTAACAATAGCACAGTTGCCGGCCTCCTGGTGACGCCAATTGGCTAACATAGCGTCGAAATAGTCGCCGTACGGCAGTTCCCCACCGGACATCCATTTTCGGAAAAACTCGGCAAAAGTCATGTCCGGGAAAAACATGTCTTTCGTGAAGTAATAATACGAAACACAAACGTCTTTCGGATTTCGACCTATAATTAGATACTTTGCGTCCGTATTATAGGCGAACACATTGAGACTAAAGTGGGAGCCCATGAATCGGCACCGGCAGCCCGGGATCTGTAGCCTCGTCTCCAGTACCCGTTTGCCGTGAGCCTCCAAAAAGCAGCCTGTATATTTAAGTGGATCGTCGCTCAAAATGTCCCTACCAGTTAACAAGCACAACACTATATATCTGACCAGGTGAAATCCCGTGCGAGGGTAGGCCAGTACAATACGGTCCCCGTCTTGAGGCTTGTAGTCGAGCGCGAATTCCACGCTTTCCACGGCGTGGTATTTAGGGATCAAATGACCACGCACACTTGAGAATTCATTTGACATGTCAATATTAATTTTCAGTCGATATTAATATTGTATTATGATGCTAGATACTGTTGTACAATATTACAATTTATTTTTATATGAAATTTTGATCAAATTTCTTAACAGTTTAAAATTGATTTGTAATAGTACATTTAGTACAAGTTTCAAAACAATTTAAAATTGATTTGTAATAGTACATTTAGTACAGGTTCAAATGACCTTTCAAAAATTCAAAATGTGAATACATAACTTACCTGTACGTTTTTATACGCTTTTCCGTAAGGGAAAAAAGCGTACACTAGAATTACTTTGTACCCCCTCCCCCTCCCTCCCATCATTAATGACGCTGATGACGGTCAAACTGCATTTCCCATAGACTTAGCATGGGGTTTTTGGTCGTAAAAAGCAATAAGAACTTTGTTTTTTCTATGGAAAATCCTAGCAAAAGTGGGCAGTCTTACTGATGACGTAATGACGCTCTGTTATTAGCCCCATGCTAAACCTATGGAAAAATTGTACATAATGATGGTGCATGACGGGTGTGTCAAAAAATGTCGGTTGCGGAACCAAAAATCCCATAGCGTTAAGCGACAAAAGGAGATTGAGGGAAATGTCGTCGAAAAAGTACGACCAAAGTGCATAAAAACCCATGTTAAGTCTATGAGATTTTGAAAAATGGTGCAATAGTGCATATTATGTTCACATAAGTGACATTAAATTAGCTGATTTTTCACATATTAAGCCTATGGGGAAATTAAATAAAATGAGCTTAAAACCCAATACTAATTCAATGGGACAATTGGCTTAAATGGACTTAATACTCTATATTAATCCTATAGGGAAATAGAATCAAATGGCCTCCTAAATCCAATGCTAATCCTATGGGAAAATATGCTAAAATATCCTAAATATCCCATGCTAATCCTATGGGAAAATTTACTCAAATTGGCATAAATCTTATGCTAAACCTATGGGACATTTGGCTCAAATGGCCCCAATATCCCATGTTTATTCTATAGGGGAATTGATTCAAATGGCCCCAAAATTCAATGCTAAACCTATGGGACATTTGGCTAAAGTGTCCCAAATATCCCATTTTAATCCAATGGGAAATTTGCTTAAGTTAGGTTAGGTTAGGTTAGGTAGAATTTGATTGGTTAGCTCAGGGAGATAAATTATAATAAGATAGTTCCATAGCATACCTCTAACAATACCTATGGTAACATAGGTGTTGTTAAGGGGTAATACAGACAATTGTCTATTTATCTACCTGTGTCAGTATCAAATTCCCTAATTATAATATGAACAAGAATAATAATACATATGAAACCTAAATAGTAAACTAATTGACAACAGTGGGTTGAAAATCTTAAATATTTTTAAAATTCTTTACAATGTTAACTTTTGAACAATTCTTATAGAAAATTTATAAATTTAGGCAACAATGGCCTGAAATTTTAAGAAAGTTAGCTAAAGAATAAATAAATAAAACCCACTATTAACGCATTTATATCCTATTTTATGTCGACAATTAAAGAAATGTTAATTATTTATTAAATTTATTTAATAAATTAATTAATGTTGAGAAATTTAATCCCAAGGAATTGAATGATAAAAATAATTTTTATTAAATCAATTGACATTAACTAGAAAAGCGCATGTCTCGATTAACTTCAGTTATCCTCCTTGTTTAAATTTATAAACAACCTAATAATTTATAAACGATGTCATACCAGAGCACCGGGTGGTGTGCTGGACCTCAGGTTCTTTGATCGATGTCTCAATGAGTAGGTCCAGTTGTGGACACAATGAATAAACTCAATGATAACAAACTAACCATTTATTAAACAAAGACTTATGAATACATTTACACGAGATGTGCACTAAATGAGTGCTTAGTATAGACTAGTTATATGGCATAGGGAAGCCATGCCTTTAATAGCATTAACTGAGCTAATGGTCAGTATCTGTGAGTACATTACGACTTGTATAGAAAGTTCTAGTACTGTATGCGATGCACAGGTCTGACTGATGTGTACGTGATGTGAGGCACAGGTATGATGACTCGGCCAGGGGATAGCCAAGGTTAGCAACTCATAGGCCATGGTTACTATTTTCTATCCAATTTTAGTACTGTATGCGATGCACAGGTCTGACTGATGTGTACGTGATGTGAGGCACAGGTATGATGACTCGGCCAGGGGATAGCCAAGGTTAGCAACTCATAGGCCATGGTTACTATTTTCTATCCAATTTTTAGTAGAAACACACTAAACATACCTAGGATCCCGGTGCTCAAATTTCATAAATCATAAATTATGTCGGATTATACATTTGTTAGTGTGACCAGGGTCAAGTATTCGATGGTCCGGTCAAGGATAAAGGGAAGGTTAAATACTTGACAATATAAGATCAAGTATTTGAAAAATTGACAAGGTGGGTTAAATGCACACCATTACATGTATAAGTAGTAAATAGGTATGAAAGGGTTATGAATAGGGAGTTCGATGTCAAGTATAATGAAATCGCTATGAAAACACCGGTGGGACGGGTGGGTGAGCTCAGAGACATCGCTAACGCCGTCCTATAC